GTCTGCGAGAAAGACCTTGGGGGACAGGAGGCGAGGAGATGCTACCTAGGAAAGGGACAGATAAGAGACAGCTGAGCCCGCAGCTGCTGTCAGCAGGGCAAGAGGCTCAAAAGAGACCCTCCCTAGTTTCTCAGGCTGTAAAGGAGGGGGCTATAATGATATGTGAGAAAGACCTTGGGAGTTGGGGCAGAAAAATGAAAGACGAGAGGCTGCCTAGGGAGCAGTTAGATAAGGACAGCATAGCCCACAGCTCCATAATGGGTGGGGAAAGGGGCTCAGAAGGGACCCTCCCTAGTTTCTTAGGATGTAAAGGAGGCGACTATAATGGTATGTGGGAAAGACCTTGGGAGTCAGGGGGAAGAGATGCTGCCTAGGGAATATTTAGATAATGGACAGCATAGCCCTCAGCTTCATAATGGGTGGGGAAAGAGACTCAAGAAGGGACCCTCCCTAGTTTCTCAGGCTATAAAGGAGATGGCTATGATGGTATGTGAGAAAGACCTTGGGAACCGGGGCAGAACAATGAAAGAAGAGAGGCTGCCTAGGGAGTAGTCAGATAAAAGACGACATAACTCACAGCTGCACAATGGATAGGGAAAGAGGCTCAGAAGGGACCCTCCCTAGTTTCTTGGGCTGTAAATGAGATGGAGGAGACACATAGTATGTGGGAATGACCTTGAGAGTCAGGAGGACAAGAGATGTTGTCTAGAAAATGGTCAGATAAGAGACTGGGTAGCCCACAGCTGTATAACAGGCAGAGAAAGAAATTCAGAAGAAACACTCCTTATTTTTCTCAGGCTGTAAAGGAGATGGTGGGAGAATTGTACTTTCAAACCTGCAGGAGTCTATTAAAGGAGATTGACAATAAAGTAGAATTAAGCTTATCTGATTATGTTTCTCCTATCTGGTCCACCTGGTAAAACTAACAATTGCTGGCCACAAAAACTTCCTCCAAGAACTAACGGTCTCTTGCTGAGCCTTCTCCCCATATCTTAGGTGTGCTTAAAGACTGCTGGATGACTGTCAAGCACCAGGGAAATTAGGAGATCCAGGCAATTCAACTTATAAAGATTTATTGAAAGCCGAAGCTCTCTTGGCCAGTATCTGGCCAACTAACAGTAAAGGGAAATGAGCGGGAGATAAGGAAGACATTATCATAAGAGAGGAGGACTGAACTTAGATCTCTTGTGGGTGTACAGGGACTCATGTCTGATGACTTGTTTGACCCCTCCCTTGGGCTCAGCCTGGTCATCTCCTGCAATGACCTCATGTCAACCTAGCTCAGTGGTTTCAGAGCCTAAAATCAAATCTGCAATGAGCTGGTGGAAACTCGAAGAAGGTGCGGTGATTCTCCTGTGTCCTTCCACAAGCTGGAGATAAAACTATCTCATTCCTCTCCCAGACCTTCCAAATCAGAAGTCTTGGTGCTCTCTTGAGCCTGGTTGTTCTCTTGCAGACATTTCACTACAAAACTAGGTAATAACGTCAGGTTGAAGGATGACAATGTTACCTAGTTGAGTAATGAAATGTCTGCAAGAAGACAACCAAGTTCAGAGAGCACCAAAGACCCCTCATTTCAACTCTGAGCTACAAATATTCTCCATGATTGAGATCTGTTTCCAAACCTGCCATTCCATGATAAATCTGTGCATCACTAATCAAGGTTCCAGTTCACGGTTGACTTTTGGATTCCTGCTTATCTTACCTTGTTTCGGGGTTATGAGGAACCCCATTAGATTTCTCTGGCCAAGCTGAACAAGGTGGTGGAACGCTAGAAGAAGCACCATTGGAATGTCCGCCCTTTGCTAACTCAAGGTTGATCTCCCATCGTTTTCTTTCTCTCCTTCTCTTCTCTACTCCACACTCAACTTCAGACAAAAACCAGCAAAGGTTGACAGCAGCTGCCCATCTTCTAGAAGTCATCCAAGGACTGGAGCAGGCCCACAGGGCTTTTGAACATCAAGAAGAGGGAGAGAAACCAGGGACTGGCACGCTACCCGCTCCCTAAGTGGCACCATCTCCCATTAGGAACCAGGTTGTTTTGTCTGTGTTGTTAATGATGGCATCATCTTTACACCTGTTTGGAGAAGAAAGCAACTAGCTACAACTACAGATTTTGCTCCTGCTGAAAGAGAACAAGAAACTGAGAAGGAAACAAGAAAGGAGAACAAGAAACTGAGAAGAACATGGCAGAGATTACAACACCTTTCTGTTCAACCAGTGTTCCACGCGGATCTTTCTCAGAAAAATAGGATGTGTGTCCAGGTTCTGCTTACTACAGAGATGGATGGAAGTTAGTTCCTCTGGCCCTTAAGTCTCCTGTAGCCCAGATTGTGGGGCTGGGCATCATCATTAATGGTGAAGATCTCTCCGTCTGTCTGTCTGTCTCTCTCTCTTTCTGTGTCTCTGTGTCCCTCATCAAGTTTCTAGTCTTCATCACAGTAAAGATAAGCTTGAAAATATTGTGGAGGGAACTCTAGTTTCAAGAAGAGACACTGATGGCTGCATCACATTTTCAGAGGGGCTGAATAAACCCCCCCTGTAACTCATTGAGATGTTCTTCTGGGCTGTAAAATGCCGGGCCATGTAAGCGAACTTTGAAAAATGGAGAATAAAGTAATATAAAATGAGGACATTGTTGGCTGTGTCTTGCATAATTTCTTTAGGTCAGGGTTCACCAAACTTGCAACTTTAAGACCTGTGGACTTAGAATTTCCCAGCGAGCATAGAAACCCCCTGATCCAGATCACCCAACGCGCTGTTCAAATGAACTGGGATATCTTGGTTGTGGAATGTCAGTTTGCTATGCCCTTCTTAGGGTGCTTGTTCACCTTTGTCCTCATCTGCTGCTCAGCATTACTCTTCTTTCTTTCCTTCCCTCCTTCTGTGCATCTCTTCTTCCTTCGCTTCTTTTTCTAACTTTCTCCTTCCTTCCTCTATCCATCCCTTCTTCCTTCATTCTCCAACATTCTCCTTCCTTCCTTCCCTTCTTCCTTCATTACTCTCTCCAACATTCTCCTTCCTTC